CTCGTTCCTCTCGCTCTGATTGGTCAAAGCGATCACGTGATACACGAGCCCGCGCTCCGTGTGTGTAGTTGCATGCATTCGCGTGTGCCCGTGGGAGAAAAGAGCACTACTGCGCATGCTCGGTCGGTCCACAGCCACCGGAAGTACCTAGCCGGGCTAGGCTAATCTGGGACAAGCCCCCAGGTTCCAAAATGGCCGCCCATTCAAGTCAATGGGCTGAGCTCAATGGCGCATGATCCCAGATTAGCCTAGCCCATGGCCGCGGGGAGCGGCGGCGGGCTGGTGTGGGCCTGCTCATTGCCCCACAGCTCAGCTGCTGTGTGTTGGAGTTCACCCCGGTGAACGAGAGGGTTGCGTCCCTGCGCCTTCGGGTCGGGGACAGGTCTCTCACTGTGGTGTCGGCCTACGGGCCGAACAGCAGTGCTGAGTACCCGGCCTTCTTGGAGTCCTTGGGAGGGGTACTAGACAGTGCACCGACCGGGGACTCCGTTGTTCTCCTGGGGGATTTCAACGCCCACGTGGGCAACGACAGTGACACTTGGAGAGGGGTGATTGGGAGGAACGGCCTCCCTGATCTGAACCCGAGCGGTGTTTTGTTATTGGACTTCTGTGCTAGTCACGGTTTGTCCATAACGAACACCATGTTCGAGCACAAGGGTGTCCATAAGTGCACGTGGCACCAGGACACCCTAGGCCGGAGGTCGATGATCGACTTTGTAGTCGTGTCATCTGATCTCCGGCCGCGTGTCTTGGACACTCGGGTGAAGAGAGGGGCTGAGCTGTCAACTGATCACCACCTGGTTGTGAGTTGGGTTCGCTGGCGGAGGAGGAAGCCGGAAAGACCTGGCAGGCCCAAGCGTGTAGTGAGGGTCTGTTGGGAACGTCTGGCGGAGCCCTCTGTCAGAGGGACTTTCAACTCGCACCTCCGGGAGGACTTTTCCCAGATTCCGAGGGAGGCTGGAGATATGGAGTCCGAGTGGGCTTCATTCTCGGCCTCTATTGTCGATGCGGCTGCTCGGAGCTGTGGGCGTAAGGTCTGTGGTGCCTGTCGCGGCGGCAATCCCCGAACCCGGTGGTGGACACCGGAAGTAAGGGATGCCGTCAAGCTGAAGAAGGAGTCCTATTGGGCCTTGCTGGCTCGGGGGACTTATGAAGCAGCTAACGGGTACCGGCGGGCCAAGCGTGCTGCAGCCCGTGCGGTTGCGGAGGCAAAAACTCGGAGCTGGGAGGAGTTCGGGGAGGCCATGGAGAAGGACTATCGGACGGCCTCAAAGAGATTCTGGCAAACCGTCCGGCACCTCAGGAGGGGGAAGAAGTTCTTCGCCAACACTGTTTACAGTGCGGGGGAGAGCTGCTGACCTCGACTGGGGACGTTGTCCGGCGGTGGAAGGAATACTTTGAGGATCTCCTCAATCCCACCGTCACGTCTTCCGAGGAGGAGGCCGAGGCTGGGGACTCAGAGGCGGACTCATCCATCACCCAGGGGCTGAAGTCACTGAGGTGGTTGGAAAGCTCCTTGGTGGCAAGGCTCCGGGGTTGGATGAGATCCGTCCTGAGTACCTTAAGTCTCTGGATGTTGTGGGGCTGTCTTGGCTGACACGCCTCTTCAACATCGCGTGGCGGTCGGGGACAGTACCTCTGGACTGGCAAACCGGGGTGGTGGTCCCTCTGTATAAGAAGGGGGACCGGAGGTTGTGCTCCAACTATAGGGGGATCACACTCCTCAGCCTTCCCGGTAAGGTCTATGCCAGGGTACTGGAGAGGAGAATCCGGCCGATAGTCGAACCTCAGATCCAGGAAGAGAAGTGTGGTTTTCGTCCTGGCCGTGGAACACTGGACCAGCTCTACACTCTCCATAGGGTGCTCGAGGGTTCATGGGAGTTTGCCCAACCAGTCCACATGTGTTTTGTGGATCTGGTGAAGGCATTTGACCGTGTCCCTCGTGGTGTCCTGTGGGGGGTGCTCTGGGAGTATGGGGTTCGGGGCCCTTTGCTAAGGGCTGTCCGGTCCCTGTATGACCGGAGCAGGAGCTGTGTTCGCATTGCCGGCAGTAAGTCAGACCTGTTCCCGGTGCATGTTGGACTCCGCCAGGGCTGCCCTTTGTCACCGGTTCTGTTCATTGTGTTTATGGACAGAATTTCTAGGTGCAGTCAGGGGCCGGAGGGGGTCCGGTTTGGGGACCACAGGATCTCATCTCTGCTGTTTGCGGATGATGTTGTCCTGTTGGCTTCATCGAACCAGGACCTGCAGTGTGCACTGGGGCGGTTTGCAGCCAAGTGTGAAGCGGCTGGGATGAAGATCAGCTCTTCTAAGTCTGAGGCCATGGTTCTCGACCGGAAAAAGGTGGCTTGCCCTCTCCGGGTGGGTGGGGAGTCTTTGCCTCAAGTGGAGGAGTTCAAGTATCTCGGGGTCTTGTTCACGAGTGAGGGAAGGACGGAACGGGAGATTGACAGGCGGATCGGTGCAGCTTCGGCAGTGATGCGGTCGCTGTATCGGACCGTTGTGGTGAAGAGGGAGCTGAGCCGAAAGGCGAAGCTCTCAATTTACCGGTCAGTCTTCGTTCCTACTCTCACCTATGGTCATGAGCTCTGGGTAGTGACCGAAAGGACGAGATCGCGGATACAAGCGCTTGAAATGGGTTTCCTCCGCAGGGTGGCTGGGCGCTCCCTTAGAGATAGGGTGAGGAGCTCAGTCACACGGGAGGAGCTCGGAGTAGAGCCGCTGCTCCTCCACGTCGAGAGGAGCCAGTTGAGGTGGCTCGGGCATCTGTTTCGGATGCCTTCTGGGCGCCTCCCTCGGGAGGTGTTCCGGGCATGTCCCACCGGGAGGAGGCCCCGGGGAAGACCCAGGACACGCTGGAGGGACTATGTCTCTCGGCTGGCCTGGGAACGCCTCGGGGTCCCCCCGGAGGAGCTGGAGGACGTGTCTGGGGTGAAGGAAGTCTGGGAGTCCCTGCTTAGGCTGCTGCCCCCGCGACCCGGCCCCGGATAAGCGGACGAAAATGGATGGATGGATATGTGCTAAGTAGTTGTAATTTTTGCCCTACTCTCATTCAGTTTTTGTGATTAATGGCATTTAGGTGTTTTGTTTCTTGTGGGTCTTGCATTTAAAAATCTTTTCTAAGGGGCTACATTTTTTTTTTGAACCATTTGAATGGTTCCTGTATGCACCATAATATATTTACTAAATATTTACTTTTAAATTTTTATTCATGGCTCATTAAATATTGCTTAGCCCGTTTTGCAAGGTGGTTACTTGATTATGTTATATTTATTCTATTCTATATTTTATTTTACAGATCGGTATGGACACATTTCTTGCTGGTTGAGCCTGGACGGCCTTTCTGCCTGTGACTGAAGTGGAAAGGACAAAGGTTTTTTAACACTTCAAGGCACTTGGTCCTCAGACTCTCACAAACTTTACACCTGTATTCAAAGAACTGTCTACAACATGGACATTGGATGTGTCAAAAGAAACCCCTGGAATGAAAGACTGACTCTTGAGGTAAAAAGTTTATGCATTGTTAATGTTTCATAATTAGCAGGACTGCCTCTATTGTGAACAATGTTAGGTTTATATAACGGAGAGAAGATCTTGTTTCAAACAGACATGCTCCACTCATTTTTGGAGATAAGCGTGCCTGAATTACATTCAAAACAAGATCTTGATTCATCCATCGACTGCCTGCATTGAAAAATCAACTTAAAAATTCCTGCTGTCAGTTGGATTTTGCAAAAATATTATTGTGTCATGACTTATTTAAATTGTGTTGATTGTATGGTGTGTATTGTTTTAATACAAGTTAAGTTGAAATGGAATTTTGTGGTAGTTTTCATTATTTTACATTTATAAAAGGGATTATGAACTAGAATGACCACAGCATGTACACTGTATTTAGTGAAGAAAGAGTTACTATTGAATAGTGTAACATGAAGAACACTACACTATTTCTACTTCATGAAGTGTTAACTTTATATTGCTATGTTTTAACACTTTAGAGTTATTGGTTTTTCACTATACACTATTGTAAAAAAAAAAAAATCCAATCTTTATCAGTGTCAAATTCAACTATGAAGAGTGTGGTTACATCAAATTACCAGTGTTGAGCCTTCTACACTTTGGAAAGTGTAGTTTTAACTCATTTATTGTAGACCCCATATGACTTGGTAAAAGTGTTAAAATTAACAATATATGAGTTGAATTAACTGTGTACCTACTGGCGACTAACTTTATAAACTAACCAAAGTGGCATAATGAGAATAATTTGGTCACAATATTAAATGGAACTGATGACATGTAGGACAAAAGAATATGAGGAAATTTGACATTGCAGCCTTAGGACTGCAAACAGGGTAAGAAAACACCCTATAGGACAGCACTTGTGAATGAGCAGCTTTTGTACAGTTCCAGATCAAATCAAACTATAGAGCAGTGCTAAGCCGATAAAGGAAGCGAACATCCCACACAGCAAGTAGACATGTTATGAATGATAAACATTTATCATCCTAATATATTTCCAAATAAAAGAAATCTTGAGCATGTTACATGTTGTTTTTCACTGAACTAGTTTGATATTTATTTTTACAATTCTGGCAATTCACTAAACGCACCACACCACACCCTCAGTCTGCTCCACTCCACCCGATGTTCAGGCACAGCACACCTCCTGTATAGAGCTCTATGCCCTACACTTGCTCTAGTGCTAAAATCGGGGGCATGATTGGGCCCTGCATCTCTCAAAAGAGCTGTGAGTTTTATGCAGGACAATACTGCACTGCGTGGCTAGCCAGTAAAGGCCTTAAAGGTGAAAAAATAATGACATTTCTCACCTGACCTAAACCCTATTGAGAACTTGTGGGCCCTTCTTAGATTTACACCAAGTCTAAGAGGCTGTGGTTGCTGCAACACAAAAAGTTGATTGGTATTGGTCACTGATAATTATATATGTGTGTGTGTGTGTGTGTGCGTGTGTGTCTATCTTACTAAAAACACATCAAAACTTGATTTCTGTGTTGGATTTATTTTTCTTTGTACTTATAATTGCAGAAAAGCAGGTCTAAAGTAAGTAATTCTGTAACTCAGGTTAAATAAGATTTATTTTACAAAGATAATTCATCAGAACAGATATCCATCAGGTAATCTGGAAAAATAAGATATTTTATCTTTCAGTTTGTGTTCAGTCCAGACAGCACCTACCTCTAAACTAAATGTGAGAATGAAATGGAGAAGGGCAGTGGAGACAAGCAAAGATCAACTAAAACATAGATTCTTATGATTGCAGCTTTTCAATAATCTATCAAATTGCAAATGATTAAGTAGAGAGGCTGATCACAGTTCAAGCCATATGCACTTAAAACTGTTCTCCACATCAATTTAGAAGCATAGTGTTAGGGGATTAACAGTCATGTAGCACAGACATCAGTGCCGTCAAAAGCACAGTTTCACTTTTGTCCCTTGTTATTAAAGCAATACAGCTAGAGAACCTGACACAAAGTGAGGAAGACAAAAATTTTTAAATGACTTGTGAGTCTTGACTGTTTAAGTCCCTGAAATGAAGACAGTGGAGATTTCCAAGAGCATTGTCCAGTGTGCAGGCTTTGTTTTCCACAAAGAGACGCAGGGTGCTAAAGCAGAAAGAGTAGACGTCCTGTTGACCTGAGATGGATGATTCTGGATAGGATTCGTCCACAGGTAAGACACTGACTGAAGGTGAGGCTAGCAGAGCTTGCGTGGCACAGAACAAAGCACAGCTCTGTCTGATTTGAGGTAAAGAGCACAGTCTTTAAATGGTGTCAACTTCTCCTATTACATGTACTTTTAATCTTGCCTATGAGGTAAATAGTAAAGAATTTAATGGGCTTACTGAGAAAACATAAATCATAATTTTCCTGTATTCATGTGTTCTGTTTTGTTTCACTCAAATTTATCACAAAGTCACAAACTCCAAAATCCTTAGCTCTTTTGCTCTTAATGTTCTCTGATTCTTGGATTAGTTTTTTCCCCAAAAGACATCATAGACATAGTAGCAAGAAAACAGAAGCAGAAACTGGTGGAGGTAATGGCCTGGTTGGTTTTAAAGAATGTATCAAAACAACACAAAGAATCCTTAGAAATGCAAAGATGTCTTGTGAACGTCATACAAAGAGCGCTGCTCAGGAGCACTCCTCCCCAATGCGCTGGCATGAGCGGCCCACTTTACGATCCAGCTTCACCAACTTCAGAACTGCCTCTTGGCGACCGCGCCCCAAGTGGTCAAACATGCAGTCATGCTGCTCCGGGAGACGATGCAGCATACAGAAGACATAGCCTACAAAAGAAAGACAATAACAACTAAGACACATGTTATTTGTTTCCAATGTTTCAATTTGTGTTTTTACTGATCATTGAAACTATATCACTATATAGTCTAGTTTATAGTGTAATCATCAATATCCATAATTACACTGGCATTCAATAATCAAAGATTCAATATATCGTTTGAAGCCGGGTCATAAAGTGGAGCTGTTAAGGACCAAAATAGTGCCCAATTGTTCACTTTTATGGTACAAGCATGAAACTTTGCCAGATTAGTAACATCCCTAGGACCAACATCTCTGGATATGGAACCAAGCCTAAGTCGACCCTGGAGACGAGTACCATGCATACCACATAATGGCTGACGTGGAAACAAGGCTGGGAGCTAAATTATTGCTTAAACTGCCTTTTTTTTTTTTTAAATAATGTTAAATAATCATATAGGTTATAAAGAAGAATATGTATTCTCAAGATACTAGATACTGCAAAGCGGTTTTAATGTCATTTTTAAAATGAAAGTAAAAATGAAATCACAAAAAGATATTTGCTACTAAACTAATGGTGTTTTTTTAAAGGTGCATTGTGTAACTTTTCTGGTCACCATGGAGATGTTATTGCTTGCTGGAATGTTTCACAGTATGGTATTAAACATTTCTATCTCCATGGAGACTAAACCAGACCAAGTTGCAGGTCAGATCTGTGGAGAAGCGACCCTGCTCACAGTCATGATGCCTGTTTTTCTAGGTATTTTTGAGCAATAAAACCACCTGTGATTGAATACATGTAAGGTAGATCTGTTTAATGTTTATACTGTGGAACATTCTAGGCAGAGCACTGATATATCCATAGTAACAAGCAGGTGACAGACCCCCAATCAAAAAGTTACACAGTGCATCTTTAATAGTATTATTTACTGTTTCTAGTGCTTTTTTTTTTTTTTGGTAATCTTAGAGTAAACTAGGTTGCTAAATAATCTGATCAAAAATGTGTAAAAATGAGAGCGTGTGAACTCTAGTGGCCTCTGTGGTATCAAGTACTATGTGACATCACACAGGACTGCCCTGATTACAGCCTGTTGTTTCTGTTTACAAAACCCTGGTTATGAGGGGGAGTTTGTAGTGTGGATACCGGTCACACTGTTCCTTATACCAACTAGCCCTGCCCCTCTCTCCTTTCACTCTTCTTTAGTCCTCCAGGTAACTCAGTTTATCAGATCTATTTGAAATGTGTTTGTGGGTGGAGTTTAGGTGTTTAGTCCCAATTTAAGGCAAATGTAAAACATAGTTTTGTGTAGGTTTGATTTTCTATCTTCATTTCTCTCTCCCTCCTCTTTGTTTAGTCTATTTTCAATGGTTTTAATCAGCTTAAGTTTCCTGGTTCAAATGGTGAAAAAACTACTGAAAATCTGTGAATAAAAGTACAGTTACATAGCAAAACATCTACTCAATTACAAGTACAACTGCGAAACTTGTACTTGAGTGAAAATATAAAGTATGCATATAAAAATCACTAACTACACAAGTGACTAGCATTTAAGGCTTTGTACATAAAACTTGAAGCTGACTTAAGTTTCTTTAATGCAGTCTTGTTATGGATGTTATGGCTGCTTGTCACCATGGAGATTTCATTGCTTTGCCTGAAATATTCAGCAGTATAGCATTACATTTATTTATGTAACCTTAATTTTATTTTGGGTGTTTTAATTGCTCAAAAATACCTTGAAAAAACATGAATTCTTATTGTGAGTGGGGTCACCATAGATCTGACCTGTAAACATGGCCTGATTGTGCCACTGGATTGTCTCCAAGGAGATAGACAAGTTTAATGCCATACTGAGGAACAATATAACATTGCCATTATTGCTCCCAACAGAAAAGTTACATAGTACATCTTTAATACTACTAACACATTTTTGCCCAAAAAATATCTGCATTAATATTAGAATTGCCAGAGTGTAAATGATCTTGCATTTTATTATCCTTCCCATAATGAATGAATGTTAGATTAGCAACATCTGTGCTTAAATTGTCTTTTAAGGGGTCATGGTGATTAATTTAAATTTGGCATGTGCCACGAAGAAACCACAATCATCACCTAATTAATTTACCCCCCCTAAAACACATCACAGTATCATAATAACAATAATGAAAAGAGCAGAGGTGGACGGCTCATTCCAGTAATCCCACACCAGTTTGAAAACACCTAAGAAATTGTGAAAATGATGATTTGGGATTATGACTAAATTAAGGCAAGATCTGACCAGGTTTTGTGATGGTGTAGTATTTTCATTGTGATCTCTCAATGTGGAATGAGCTGTAGATATTCAGACTATAATTTAATCTCAAAAGGAGGCTCTGTTCACGCCTGTACTACAGTGAGATATGGATTGTAATAAAGATAATAAACCCATTATTAAGACCACAAATTTACTATGTTTTAGCTTCAAATGTTAAAATAAAGTCTAATTAAAAAACAAAATGCTTAAACTGCTGAAATAATGTTTTTTTTTCTCATAATGTGAGATGACTATATAAAGGCTATGTAAAAGGACAATGCAATTTAACGTCTTTAGGTTCACAATGTAACATTTCCAGAGGAAGGTAAGATACCTGCTTGTCTCCAGGGAAATGTTATTGCTTTACTTTCACAGCATGACATTAACCTTATCCATCTCCCTGGTGACATGCAAGAGACCCTGCTAAATGTAATAATGTATGCATTTTAGATATTTGAGCAATAAACACATTTTCAATCCTTATCTGAATAAACACAAGACTGATATGTTTAATGCCATACAGTGGAACATTCCAGCCAAAGCTATCTTCATAAAAGAAGCAGTTTGTGGACCCCCCCATCAGAGAAGTTATAATGCACCATTAAGAATTTTAGAATTTTAAGACACCAGATCTGCCCAGCCCTGCAGATTGGGGATGGAAGCGTGATGGCAGTTAGTGGTTAGGACAAGTGGCAAAGGACGCATTCTATGATCTTAAAAAGTGTGGATGCAGAAGCCTGTGCTGGGTGATGCAAGTGTGCAAAGACAAATTTGGCATGTACAGGTTCATGCAAATGTGGCAGCAGCTGCACTTAGAGCACTTTAAATAAGTTTACTGATTTAAGGTAGATCTCTGTTCTGTGTTTGGGGTTAAGCCTCGCTTCCATGCAGCATTTAATTATCAATACGAACCATGATATGGCACTTACAGATCTTTAGAGATGGTAAAATGTGTTTTGTTATCAAAAACCCAATAAATATGTCTCTGAAAGATAAAATATTGTATTAACTTGGATTTCAGCCACAGGGAACCCACACAACCCTTACATTCTCAAGGAAAACGATCATGTGACTGCCTTAATGCTTTGGAGTTTATGAAAAATAGTTGTTCAACATTACAAAATGGATAACTAAACAAATTAGACTGTAAGAAAGGGATTATGTAGTTTTTTTTAAGACAGCCTCATTTTCATATAGTCCATTTTGTGACATGTGCAGTTCTCAGCTCCAGTGTTGAATTACACTTAGTTCCATATCCAGAAATAATAGTCCTGGGGGTGTTACTAATCTGGCAAAGTTTCATGCTTGTACCATAAAAGCGAACTATTTTGGTCCTTAACAGCTCCACTAATACTACAACTACAAAATTTAAAAAAACCCTACAAAAAACAAACAAAAAACTGCTCATAGTAATATTTATTTAATCTAGTGTAAATATTTGAAACTTTGTTCAATTTTTTATATATTTTTTAAAATTAAACCAGTCTCCCTGATTACAGACATTTAGTGCAATGACATTTTGACTCCCTAACAGGCACAGAATAAAACTGACAAAGATGATGACTTAGATTCTCCACAATCTCTCCTTTTTGCCTGCTTACAGATTGAAACATCTTTATGCTTTCAACTCATTATCAGAGCTACTTGGCTTACACTGAGACACTCGGCAGAACCATTAGCAAAGTAATCTGCAATTACTGATAAAGTCAGAAATCACTATAATTGCCGCAATTTCCCTTTTCAGTCTGAAAGAGTATGTTTTCATAGTAGGAATTTAAGCATCAAGGCATGAAGAGTCATCTATTACCAAGCGCCTTGTGGAAAAAGGAAAGTCAATTTTCAATTTTGAAATGATGGCCTGGGTTTAAATGGATGGTCTTTAAGCAATGAGGGGCTGTGACTTTTAAGTACTTTAATTTGTATGCAAACAAGCTGATTACCAAGCCCAGTATAGGTTTAAACCGTATTAGTGTTTGTTGTAATTGACTTATGGTTTATGTGCAATGTTTCTGTGCTCCCCAAGGCCAACAAAAGCTCTTTTCAGTCATCAATATTCCAGACAACAAACAAACCAGCAGATACCTGTTAGCTTTACCATACAATCTCAGCTAATGTTTTCCTGAATGGCTGTTTAAAGAGGTTAGCTCTACCCTTATAACATGAGTTTTGTGCATTATCAGGCATACCGCATCTACAGGAACCCAACTCCTGTTGGACCAGCTCCAGTTTGGTTTGGCAGTGGTGGCAACGTTTCCGACTGCGTTGTTTTGAGCCACTACGTGACAAAGGTGATGCAGAGGACAGAAATGCCAATGATGATGAAGCTCCTTCATCCTGTGACACATCAGACTCTCTTGCTCGCTTTATGGGAGAAACAGCACCTGCTGAATCAGAGGCTGAAGAAACAGCAGGGTGAGGTCCAAAACAAACAAATACTACCATATATGTAACAAAAAAACACATTAAATTAATTTAAGAGTATTCATGTTTACAATTATGTAAGATTAGATTATTAAAACTACTTGTGCAAGCAATAGAATCAGGACACCATGCTATTATTGCACAAGTTAAACCTAGCCTTATTTTTATACATGGGCCTATATTTGATTTAGTGGGGTCTTCACGGAGGACAAAACAAATGATGGTCCACTACCGGTAAAATGCCTTTATGTGTTAAATAAAAGGCAGTTAGGAGATTAATGTTGCTCTTGCATTAGATTATGCTTGACCCTGCACCTGAGACTGGGGAGGCATGCAGAGCATAGTACTGGCCAGCTGGAATTTCAACTCAGCTTTTCTCATCAATCCTGCAGATTTTTTTTTTTCATGGACCAGCCCAATGCAGATCAGCATTCAATAAATCTCTGAGAACTAGGCCAAGCTGAGCAGCCCTATCCCCACAACCGACATCGATTCCAACACTGTCTGTGTGTGCATCGCTACAGGCGTTCTTCTGCCCCATGTCTGTTATCCTGCTAAATCTCCAGGCCCAATTTACTTTAGCAAAAACTTCAATCAACATTCCACAGCTGAATTAAAGAATATATTATTTAATTATTTATTAAATGAATGAATTTAGTAAACATTAGAGCTCAAAGTGAGTCTGATCAGAAGGTGCAGAGCTGAAATCTGTGTGTAGTTTTAGGTTTTTTAAGTGCTGTGTGCGCATGGATGTTTGGCTTTAAGGGATCAACATGTTCACACAGTGTTGCAAAGCTGCAAGAGATGTTTGACTCAGGAAAAACCTATGTGCCAGGTGTATGGCTGGGTACCATTAAACAATTATAGATACTTTTCTTTTAACATGCAACGTTTGAAAATCACTGATTGGGATCTTAAACCACTAGAAAAAATATGTTCCAAGTCTTAAATGAACTGAACTGTGTTTAAATCGTGACAACACAGGTCCTTTTAAACAGCTCTAAAGTATTAATGCCACCAGTAGAAGCACTACTACAGATGCTATAATAAATCATTAAACAAAACAAACAAAACAATGGTGCTGTAAATAATGTTATCTCACCTGATTCTATAGAGCGTTTTGTGGCCGTGCAAAGCGCACTGTAATCAGCACCTGTGCTAGATACTTCTGTCAGAGAAATGGAGAAAAACAAACAGGTATATGGTAAGCAAGTGGGATGTCAGAAAGAGGACCTAACAAGAGAATAAGAAAATGTCAGAGGCAAGTGAATAAAAATACAGCTGCTAAAATGATATTCTTTTCAAAAGAGTTCTAAATGTCAAGTTTTTTTCTTTCATACAGTTTGACAAAACGAAATGTCACTGATAAAGTATGAGGAATATCTTAGAATGACGTAAGAAGAATGCAGACCTGATATAAAATAGAAAGGCGGATAATTTTTAACCAAAGCATATTGAGTATTATAGTACCATACTTAAAAGCAATGGGCCAAGGATTTTGTAACCTTTATGGTAACTACTATATTCTTCTGCTCTGGTTTGACCTTAACAAATAACCTTGTCACTGTAAAGCTATAAATGATGCCCTGGCAATTGCAGATGTCCTCTTAAAACCTTCACTTCAGAATACCCTTTCCAATCATTTCCTCTATCTGTGCCATGAGGACAAATATAGCCAGGGCAGGGGTACTGCAGCTGCTGCTCTTTCCCTTAACAAAAAGAAAGAACACAGCACAGTTCTGCCCTCTTCTAAAATGCACACAGCATTAGTAAATCATCAATGAAACATTCTACTTATCTAAAGTTTCACTGAGAGAGGCTGTCCATTTGTCAAATATGCAGAGAAATGTATCTTCAGATTCAGAATAATTAGCCTAATTAAACACTAACAATTTTTTTAAGAAAACATGTTGTTGGTGGTGTTACCACCTTGAGCAGGTAGTGTAGCAGCAGCTGGAGAAGGGTCCACTGATGTACTGGCTGTTGAGGTTTGTGTTGGAGATAAGCTGTTGTTTGAATCATTCAAGTGGTCCGGTTGGCTGAAACTAGGGTTTGGAGAATTCTTGATAGCAAAATCTTCATCTGTATGTTTCTTTTGAATATCTGGCAAAAAAATATATAAAAACATGAATACATACATAAATAATTAATTATTATAAAGTATAATTATGTATATTTATTATCAAATTCTTGAGAGTCAAGACAAAACAGATTTAGAATTTTTTCTGAGCTGTACACAAATGCAAAGAAACAGGTTCTGACTAAAAACATTTTTCTAAAAAAAAAAAAAATTGCCCATTTTCCAATATAATTCAATTATTGTCTATAGTGTATTAGCCACACAAAAAACACAAAAACGCTAAAATTTTAACATGCAATGTATGCTCTTTACCATAGTATCTAATGAATGTCTATCTAAAATTGTAACTTTACACACTTATGAATATTCAAGTTAATAATATTAAAATGTCATTATATAATTTTTGGTTTTAGTGCTACAAAATACCTTTCTATAAATAATTAACACACATAAAATTGTACACTTTACAACTTAAACCACATAAATAGACGGAAATAGTCTCACACACACATACATACACACACACAGTAAAAATTACCTGCAAAACATTTGGAACAGAGATTCATAGTTTTTCTTGACCTGGAGAAGAGGGAGAAATATAGCATGTAATTTTACAAATATATATTTGTCCATAATAACACAGCAGAATTTTCAAGAAATTAAAATGTGTTAGACAAAATCTTGTTACAAATATTCTTTATCCTTAATTCACATGCATTTCATGGTGTATATGCCCTTTCTGAACTGAAATTATAAGAACTTTAAAACACTTTGATATGGTGGGTCACAGAAGCTTTTTTGATTTCAGGGGCACTCATGTTTGCCCTTAAATGGCTGCATCTTGTCTAGGAGCCCTACTCTTATTTCCGCTCGGCTCAGTCAGTGAAAGCACTGAGCGTGACGGTCGCTGCTATCAGTCACATGCTATTTATTTTGGGTGCTTCACTGCACACCTTTGTCCTCATTTTTACATGTAGGTTCAGCTGCAGAAGACCCAAGGACTGTCAGCCCACTCATGGCTTGTCGGGCACACAAGCAGACATGAAGCGAGAAACCAAGATCCTCCTCATCAGGCACAGGCAGGCAGGCAGGAAGGAAGCCAATCAGGATAAACATCACTTCCCGTTGACAAGACCTCATATTAACACTAATCAAAAGGTTAATTAATGTTATAAAGTTAAGGTGGGGTGGTGGAAAAATAACACACAAATTCCAAACAACATGATCAGTAAACTGACGGTAAAGTTAAATACCAGGGCAAACTGATAAGAGGGGACTCATCGGTTCATTTGTGTGCGGTGCTCACATTGTAAGTTTCAATTTCAGTGTTTTTCATTTTGTGTTTTCACTTCATTTGAGACTTGTACACGAAACACATGACATGAACATAAAAAGGTCAGCAGCTAATTGTAGACTGATGCACCAAAAAGTTATTAGTCAAATGGGGCCCTGTAATATTTGCCTTTGCCGTGTCAGTTAATAGGCTGTTAGAGATCAAGTAAAATCTTAGAGTGTTGTCAACTCATGCCTCTGCAGCAGCTAAGCCCAGTGCCAATGTTCTAGCATTAAAGGCCAAGCAAGAAAAAAGTTTAGCTCAATTTGTTCACCTTTACAAGTATGGCTCAAAGAGCACTTTATGACAATAATGGTGGCTGCACTAAGAAGCAATGGGAAAGGACATGCCAGGATTAATTTAACAACTCCAGCTAAATGCCAGACACAATTACAGCTTATGAGGCAAAGAGAAGATCAAGCATTATGGCTGTGTGGAAGACAAAGGAAGGAATTAGCCTAGTTATAACAATGCATTATTTTCTAAATTTTGTCAGGCTTAGTACAAGAACAGGTTTAGTTTAACCTTATCAGTGCAAAACTGTTGTGTGGCGGTACATGGAAGGCAAAATATTTTCTTAATTGGTGGTGTGTGGTTTGAGAACTACTGATGTAAAATCGTAAAAATCCACCAAAATCATTACCTGCTATTTATTTATTTAATCTGTTCATATGCTACTCTATGTACAAAGATAACCATTGTTATAGCTACTTACTGTATATAGGCCTACTGAAGTCTGAAGTCTACTGTACCTTCTATTTATTCTTGTCCATATGCTGTACTGTTCATAACCACAGCGATAGCCACTTATTGTGCAAAGTTTTGTAGCCTTAGGCTAAGCTTTTCTCTGTTGACAGTATTGTGTTAGTTTTTGTCTACTGTAAATCTTTATAGTAGGTTATAATTAATCTTAATTTTGATTGAATATTCCTATTTTGCTTCTGTTCTTGACCTTTGTGTTGCAACACTGTAATTTCAGATTGTGGGACAATTAAAGGTTTAACTTATTTCGTCTTATGTAGTTGACCATATCCTACACCCTATACCACTATCTTACAACTCACAGGCTGCCCAACTGGCCAACCAAGGTGATTAAATAAAAGTTCCAAATGAAAACGTGTTTTTTGTTTTTTTGTTTTTGTTTTGTTTTGTTTTTATTATTGCTGTTTTATACTTTTATCTGCTCCACGGGCACTATGACATGTCATATTACCAGGAAAGCTTATGAGCTCGGCATGACGGGGAGTTTGATGGTTTGATGTAGACTAGCAGCAGGTCTAGCCACAGTGATACCCATGGATCTATTAAAATACTTTAGGTGCTACAGAGTGCTACAAACAATGGGGAGGGCTTCACAAGGAAAGCAGCTTGCTTGAGCTGCTAGGCTACTGGCTAGCCAGCTTGCTAGCTTTCCGTCAGGAAGAAAGCAAATAAAAGTAAGACATGTAAGACATTGTTGTCCTTACCCCCAGAACCCGCAGGGACAGCGCGGAGCTACAATGTTTACGTTAGCTGGAGGCTTTCTGCCTTCGCTCCCGGTGTCCCCCATGTCGGTGCTGCTGCTGCTGGCTGTCCGTGAGCAGGTGAATCCGGGGATAGTGTATGGGCCTCGTTTTGCGTTTTAGATCCTTTACCCCTGACAGATGGGTACCTAGGTAAACAAAAAAATACCATCCGGGGTTTCTGTATGTAAGAGACGGATTGAAATGAAGCTTGTCGCTCTAAATGACACCGACGAATAGAAGAGCCGTCAAACCCAACTCACGCAGGCAGCACCCGATCAGCTGGAGCCCGGAGACAGACGACCACTGTGCGTGCGTGCGTGCGTGCGTGCGTGCGTGCGTAGGTCTATGGCGTGTAGCTGGGTTTGTGTGTGTCGAAATGTCCGAAGAAATCCTCTCCTTAAAGCCGAGGATCTGGTTCAGAACACTAAGTTAAGTGGCACTCTGACCTGAGTAGGACAAAATAAAAAAGAATAGGATTTCCCACCGAGTACATGCATTTAATGATTTAATTAATAAATTAATCATTTGATTTATATAGCGCCTTTCAAGACACCCAAAGCGCTCACTTTTAGTGCTTAAAATGTGACTTGATATAATCAAATTCTTCTGAACTGGGATCTAGATGTATTCCAAATCAATCTGGTGTGCTTTTTAAAGTGTTAAATGTTTATCATTTTTAATTTCACTAGAATGACCAAGACCTTTTACACACTAAACACAATAGTAGCCTAATATTCTTCATAGAGCACAGTGGCACAGGACGAAGAGCAGCTCACTTGTTTTTAACATTTATTTTCAAATAAATTCTCGCCAGGCGAGGAAAATAATGTTTTGGGTCTGACTGACCCGCCCCAAGAGAGCGGGGAGGGAAAAAGAACCTTCGGGTCAATGTGACCCTGAGGAGAGCGTGAGGGTTAAACTGAAAGTCAGTAGTGCACATCTGTTACCTCTTCTGCTGTTTGGTTATTTTATGAATGTGTCTCTCTCTGATTTTACATGGGCTTTCTTTTCCTCAGAAGCAACCACATTTGTTTTGATACATGTCCCTGATTAGCTAATCCATAAGAAAATCACAGCCATCTGAATTTATAAAATCTTTCTATCTTTGTAAAGTATTGCAGAATTGTGTATGCTGAATCCTAGGCAAAGAGTTTTCACTTCACTATGAGACCTGCATTAAACAGAGAAGATCTGATCACATCTGATCCAGTGATCCGGTGAAACCTGTTTTCCCTGCCCTCACATGACTTTTGTTCAGGCTCATCTGTGGGCCTGGTCCGTCAGCCCAGCCTACAGATCATAGCTTTAAACTTCTTGTAAAATAACAAAGACATCATGATGGAATCTACAACCACCTTTTTAATGTACAGTGCCTTGACAATAAGTACACAAAGTTACAAGTGGAATAATAGAACAGGGAAATAAAATAAATTGTAAAGTGTAATGTATGACTGTCATGTTATGAGTTATTACTCTTAATAAAATACATTATATAATTGCAGTCAAATGCATAATGCACATTCATTTGTAGTAACTGTAGTGCTGTGTACTATAATTCATGTAAACTTGGTCCCAGCTGCTGATAGACTGCATGTCAGATAAAACACCTGTCTTTACAGCATGAACTATGGAAAATCTATACAAACACTTTTGTCCATAAATTACATTTTTCTTATCTTTTTCAACTCCCAATAGACACAGACTGTCTGTATTGACTTGGTTGAGGGTCACTGAAAAGAACCTCAGATTACTGAAGTGGAAGAGTGAGATTAATATGAAGAGCTATTGCTCATTCAATTTGTGGTTCTTTGAATAAAAATCAATTTCTCTATTAGATGAGTTTTGTTATTAGACTAATTACCTCCACAGTAACTATTACTGCAGATAGAAAATATGCTCTTATAGCATTCCTGCAATTATCTGTTAAAAATGTCCAGAGTTCAAAAACCTCCACACAAAACGCACAGGGAGATCAAAACTGAGGTTATTTCTAATTATTCAGTCTTTGCAGACATAGTAGTGTGCTGCAAAAATAATAATTTCCTGCACATATTTGCTACTGTTTTTGTTACTTTTTACGAACATCACCATCTTGCCTCCCACAGTGCATTTGAAGCCACCCATGCCTAAGGCGGCCGGAGTAGCCTCATCCCCATCATCTAGATCAAAGAGACATTAAACAGAAGAAATCTCCAGAAGATGAAACATGCAGAGCAGTGCAATTAGTGAATAGTACCACTTTTGAACACGTATCTCACACCATACCCTTGCATGCAAATATATATTTTTCAGACTTCACGTATTAATTTGTAATATAATAGGATTAAAGAAGTCCCTAAAGTCAGTGAGTGCTTTAAATATGCAGTTGAAACCTAAACTGTAAAATAACAAGAATGGACACTTCACAGCCAATGCTTATTCAAACATGCGCTCCAAAAGAGGAGAACAGGTCATGTCGAGAGCACATCGCTCTCATGTCTCATGCACATGTTCACTGAGAGCTAAACTTGACTTCATAGGGCTTGCCATGTCACACTGAGAGGTTCCAACTTTGTACATTCACAAGTACTAACCCTAACCCTTGATCACTATATCGTTTTTCAGAAAGATTGGCCAATGATTGTACATTTTAATCGAATTCTAATTTGGAAACTGATTGGAAAATTCAGTAATGTGATGATAATCAGATGCAGATGAGTTCTCATCAGAGCTGTCTATTTATTAATGAGCTGTATCTTAGCTCACCGTCAGAACTGTAGGAGCGAGCACATGTGTAAGTGTACAGATTGTGCATATGTCACTGTGTAAATTTGCCTTAATCAGAATGGTAATATCCAATCAAGCCACACTGGAGTAATGTGAAGTTTGATAAAGACATGACAGAAGGATCATTAATAGCCAGAAAAGAAACTTTATGGAGCACTGTGCAACTTTTTTGGCAGAGGATGCACTCCCAGCTTGCCTCCATGGAGATGTTATAGCTTTCATCTATTTTGCATTTCATTCATTTCAGTTATTTCTATTGCTTAAAAAAACATCTTAAAAACATGCATTCTTTGCATGATAGACTTGATCTGTAACTCAGTCTGATTGTGCCACCTCCTTGGTTTGTCATGTCATCTCTGTTTCAGTGACTTAATGCAGAGCATTCGAGTCAAAACCATGACATATTGTAGTGCATCTTTAATTTGTGTCTTATTTGTAAGATTTTGAAAATATAAAACTATAAAAAAAAGATCCACCAAAATTATCAAGTTTGTTGTAGCCACTCATACACAAAGATAACGTACCTAAAACAAAGCTTGCCTTTTACCAATCCATTACTCAGATTCATAAGAGAAGTCCCTGGTGAGGAAATGCACAATACATTTTGGGCAGTGATAAAATTACTTGATAATATGGGTTCAGCATAACTAGTGGTGTGGACTTTGTGCAGCAACTAAGGCCCCAAATGAACAGAAATGCGTAGAAAATGTTTCTTTCATCCCAGGACATAAGCACATTACAGAGTGATGAAACAAAATGTAACTGCTTATCATTGCGAAGCTTTCAACACCAGTATGTGGTGGTTTTGTGCGTTTTTTATTTTACATACTTTTAAATATGTCACACTGACATTAATATTAATTACTTTAGTATTAATGCAGTATATGCAACAACACATATTTTTTTTAAATGATTTTATTGCTTTTTAATATAGCTAATTCATTCGAGAAGCTGGAACAATGCCATTTTGTTTTGTTGTTCAATCCTATGATCATCATTACATATAAATAAATTAAGATACTCCAGAAGTAAATAACTTTATATTATTATAATAACTGTGTGGTTCTATACTCATACATAAACCATAGCTTGCATTTAAGAATAACAAGCTATGTTTTTTGACAAGTACTTTGAAGAAACACTAATTGCTTTTGACTTCTAATATCGGTAGAAAGTCATGCATCAAATGACAAAATAATAAATACTACACAATTTTTATAGGCAACATATACAGTCTCAATGCAATAGTGTTTTACTGACACCTAGTGGACATACTGGTTTGTTAACTTTCTGTTAACGTAATATAATATTAGAAGCAACAAAGTAAAAGTGCAAACTACTTGCTATTAAAGAGTATATTATACTTTTTTTTTCTTTACTTCTTTTTTCCCCTCAAATTTTAGATTAAGCCCAAATACATTCATTTTCACATTCTAAAAATGGACCTGACAATCTGTACAGAGCCAATACAAAAGAATATATTAAAATGCTTTTCTGAGTCTCTATTCAGTGACATTACTCTTTTTGAAAAAGTTCATTCAATTTTTTCAGGTGGGACTACCTCCAAGAGCAGCTGTAGATGCATGGTGATGGGTCCTGGAAAACACATGTCAGGTTATAAAAAAAAAAAAGGAATAATAATTAATAAAATTATACAATTGTATTATTAGATGAAAAAATAAATGTAATAACGATATTAATAATATTTGTAAACTTACTCATCATTTTATGTGCCCACTTGACCCTTTTGTAAACAAAAACATAATAGAGGATGAGTCCACTAAAAATAAAAACAGTGCAATAGAGGTACTCTATTTCTGGTTTATCAATGATGGGAGCCAGCACCAGGTAGAAAGACACCAGGGTCATCAGAACTGCCAAAACAATCGGCACCTATGGATACACAAATAGTTACACACATTACTAATATGTCCTACTTTTTACATTTATTTGTTAAAATAAATAAATAAATTACCTTGACTGGCCGGTGAAGTTCCTTTCTTGTGAAACGCATCACAATGAGAGCAAATGCTGTCAGACCATAGAAGAACCACTGAGCAAAGCTGAAGTAGTTAATGAGGGTGTTAATGTCTGCTGGCAGGATGTAAAGTAAGGACAAAAAGCCCTGTAAGAATAAACAAAACAGCCATGATTAAATGTGATTTGACAAATCAACAGTTTGTACTTACATTAAAAATCAGAGCAGGTGCTGGTGTGAAGCGTCTGAGGCTGACGTAAGATAAGATTTTAACCATGTGGCCCTCTCTACCACTTACATATGCCAGTCTGTAAGGGAAAGGCATGTCAACATCAAAACATATATTTGATGAGTAAGTAGAGGTGGGAAATATATTGAAAAATTGATGATATAAAAAATTTGGAGATGAACAAATGCTGCAAAAAGAGCATATTCATTTTGTCTGTTTATTTGCCCTTTGAGCAATATTTTCAACACAATCATTTTATAGCACATTTTATGACATTTAATAATATGTATATGGTTCTTCATACTATTTGATTAAAAATTATTATATAAATCACCTGCCAGCTGTGAAGCAGCTACCATTGGCCGAACCAAATGTGGAAAAGACAACAAAAAGTGGGACGATCCATGACATAGGGTAAAGAACTCTGTCACCAAAAGTCTAAGAAACAAAAGATTTTAGCTCAAAGCTTTTAAACAAAGCAAAATGTGGATGCAGTTTAGTAGTGAGTCATCTGTATATGAAACTTACCACAGCAACAGCTGGAGACAGCAACAGCTCACTTGGTGTCATGACAGTGAAGTAAGCCACATTGACCAACACATAACAAACTGTCACTAAAGGGATACCAATTATAATAGCCAAAGGAAGATTCCTATGTAAAAATGTTAGTTAATGGATTGGATTTTACAGAAAATTTTTTCAATATTCAGTTTGTTATACCTATAAGGGTTTTTTAACTCCTCTGTAATGAAATTCAGCTGGTTCCTGATAATAATAATAATAATAATAATAATAATAATAATAATAATAATAATAATAATAATAATAATAATAATAATAATAATAAGCATTTGATTATTTTACATTTCAACTAATAGAATTGCACTTTTGATAAGTTACCTACCATCCATCATATGCCCAGAGTCCGTTGTAAAATGCAAGACCAATAGAACCAAAAGATACTGATGCGGTTTGAAACGAATTGGAAAAATTTTCTGTATTTCCTGAATACATGTAAAACACAGTATAACAGTTTGTATAATCTTTATCATGCTGAGTGAAAATCTCATACCTTGAGCCAGCAAAACCATGCCGGCCACAGAAATAACAATAATGATCAGAAGTTTGGCCGCAGTGAAGACATTTTGTACATAACTTGCCAATTTCACACTCAGACAGTTGACTATGACAATAATAACTGAAAAGGCACAACAATAGTTAAAGATTCTCCAAAGGAATTAAAATTTAACCAAACAAATTGAAGTACCTCTGCACCTAAAAAGCCATAATTGCCCTATGTAACCATTAACCCACACTATTTTAAAACTACTTACACGTTGCAGCTGAGGCAAGACATTTAATGACCAGTGCTGGAGGACTGCACCCAGGGTAGAAAGGAGTGGCAGCATATTCGGCAAAACTCAGAGAAATGATTGCAAAGGAGGAAGGCTTAAGAACCACAATGGTGGTCCAGGAGTACAGATATGCCACAATAGAACCAAAACTCTCCAAGAGATAAGCATACTCTGCCCCAGATTTGGTGATCATGGTACCGAGTTCAGCGTAACACAATGCACCTGTGGAGACCAAGCAGTAACAGTATCACTATGACTCTATATCTGTTAAATTCATACATTTTGACCATTATTTATCATTTATATTAACTTTTTTATGTAAGATTGTACATAAAATGAGTTAGGTATTGCACAATAGTCTGAATGGTCTAGACTGTAACACTGTATGTACATCTCCCCTGTCCAATAAAGCCTATAGGCAAAAATAGTGAATAGACCAATACTAATTATAAGTTTATGCAACACAATATTACTCTCTAAAAGTATTTTATGAGACTGTAATTGGTTTACTTTAGCCAATAAAGTAAATGTGCCAGTAAATTGCCAGTAATTTTGTTTTGTTTTTTTACTGCTGAACAGCGTCTGTTGTAACTTGGGTGTATCCCTGGGTCATGCCATGGTACTAAGAAACATTTTAGTCATTTCCATAATAAAACACTTTGTGTTTATCTGTTTATGCCCAGGTTTACTATTGTGACTATAATCTTTTTATGAGTTTTATGACTATGACACTGGAAAAAAATGCTGTAAATGTGTTTATTATGAGATTTTATATATAGAAATCAACCAATTAATTGACTGTGTTGTATCAGGAAGGACATCAGGTGTTAAAAACTTTCTGACCAATATGTAAATCATGCCACAGTCACTGAACAGAGCAGTTTGCACACTGGTAATATTATATACAGTAATCTCACCAAGAGTGGACAGAACTCCACAGGCAGTCCAGACCAGGAGACAGGGTCCCACTGCTCCTGTGTAGAGCAGAACCGATTTAGGAGAGATGAAGATGCCTGAACCAATCATAGTCCCTACAATCAGACTGATTCCACTCAGGAGACCAACCTACAGACAGAACATAAAACAAAATGTATTAACCTCTGGAAAGCTTACAGTTAGACTGGACAAGCATATCCTCAGTGGCAAAGACTATGAAAGACTGCACGTGGTACTGCCTGGTACTAAATCCATGCTTTTTGGTCCATGTGGGAGAGACGGAGGGAAAAATTTCTGGACTGACAAAATCAATGAATTACTGGAAATCAAGCTATACTTACATCTTTTTGAAGCATGGTGGCTTTTTCAGATTTATTGTCTTTAGTTTCAGAAGCAATATTGAAGGTGTTGGCACCATTTTGTAACTTATGCTGCTTCAAATCGCTGTCTTTGTCCATTTCTGATTACTGGCAAAGCACAAGGATAAAGGATATGTATAACAATGTTACACTTGAGAGAGGAAAGTTTTAGGCATTTTTAGCATTTATACAATTATTATTATTACTATTATTATTATTATTAAATTAAAAACACTGGAGTATTTGCATACTACAAGAGTAATGCAGTCATTTGGAGTATAGAATAAGAAAATAAACTTACCTCTAAGGGTGTTTTATAGACTTTAAAAACAAAACTAGACCGCCTAAATGACACTGTGCAAAAGTTAAGTATTAAGTGATCCAGGAATGCATTTGAAAATGTTTAGCTCCTTTAATGGGAGGAGCCTGATCCAACTCAGTGCAACAGGGGGAGACAGGGGAGGGCCATTGTACCCCAAAAAAACATGGTTTGAGGGAATTGGTTGTATGTTATGTGAGTCTACATGATTCTCAAATGTTTGACTAGACTGGCCTTTTTTTTTTTTTTTTTTTTTTTTTTACAGGAATCATTTCTTCAACACAGATCACTAAACATTTTCTCTTTAAGTTTACCAGGCTGATTTCAACACAAAGCTTCTTTGATACAGACATATGACACTTGTGTTCCCAGTGTGCTACATTCCCTTAATCTTTCTCTTTTTGTGCTTGTTAGGCTCTGGTCATCTTTGCTTGATTGGTATATTTCTTTTGGAAAAGTAAAACCTAAAAGTTGTAATTTTGCATAGAAAAATTCACTGCACAAAGTAAAGAAAACAATGTTGTGCTTGATAACCAGTTAGAGGACCTTGTAACCCTTCTATCTGACAAACTTGCTAAATTAGTATCTGACTCTTCTCAGTAAGCAAAAATGTCAGTTTGTTAAAAAAGAACAATACTTTGGAGGTGGCAATGGCTTAGTGGCTAGAGGATCAATTCCTGCTTGCTGCAAGTGTGGAGTGTGGAGTGAAAGAGTGTAAAATATGCCTTGGAGGTTCAAAATGCTATGTAAAATGCATTATTATTATTTGTTTGCTTTATTCTGCAGACTATTGTATTTGAAGTCAGAGGTGGGACTAAGTCATTGTTTTGCAAGTCTCAAGTAAGACTCAAGTCTGTGACCTCAAGTCCAAGTCAAGTCCCAAGTCAAAGACAGGCAAGTCCAAGTCAATTCCCGAGTCACTAGCCCATACATCCAAGTCAAGTCCAAGTCGTGTGCTTTGAGTTTCAAGTCATTTCAAGTCTTTAAACCAAAGTACCAAATAGATTTTTGATATTAACATCACTTTTAAATTAAATTGTACTTGAAAAGTCAAGGTATAGTTATACATGAGTATTTATATAAGAGTTGTAGAAATGCAAATTGTACTGTATATTACTAGTATATTTGTGGATACTACATCACAGTACTTCCTGTTCCTATAAAATTAAGCACCGCATGTCTCAACTGTAAAGAGAAAAGTATTTTCTAAAAACATATTTTTGTAGCAGAGACATCAAGACATCTCAAGTCACAGGTCTAAAGTCCGAGTCAACTCCCAAGTCATTGACCTTCAAGTCCAAATTGAGTCCCAAGTCTTAGTCTATTTTATCAAGTCAAGTCTCAAGTCCTAAAAATTGTGACTCAAGTCTGACTCGTGTCCAAGTCACGACTTGCAAGTCCCCACCTCTGTTCAAAGTAGAAACAGAAATATTTTTGACATAATGGGATTTTGTTTCAGACAGACAAGGTAATCTGTCTAGAAGGTAACATAACACTTGCACTCAGTCACCCTGAGAACAAAACAGTGCCATATAATCATGCCACATTCACCTCTGTGCCTTAGTCAAAAGCAAAGACAGCCTGTGCTTGTATAACTTAGCTCACAAGCTTGCTCAATTTATTTATGGAAAAAAGCATTAACAAATTACATTACAGCATTATCAAAGGCTACGTTCAGACTGCAGGGCTTAAAGGCTTGTATAGGATTTTCCAAGGAACGAGAAATCCAGCGACTGTTTGTCTTTTTCAAATGTTGCGCATGCGTGAAACCACCCCCCTTTTACGTGAAACGCCTTCTCCCGCCTCCTCACTACGCCAGAAACAGGTTTGTTTACAGCGGTGATGCACATGACTTGTAAACAACTAACTACAGTGTTGGTTAGGCAAGGCGGAGAAGTGAGGAGCGGGGGAGCGGTTCGGAATTTCGTTCGCGGACGAGAAGTGAGGCAGGAGAAGGCGGAGCAGGGAGAGAGGAGAGAGGAGAGAGGAGAGGGGAGCGGTGCGCGGAGATCCGTGCCGTAAAGTGAGGAGAAGGGGGAGAGCGGAACGGGCAGCGGGGACAGGAGTGGAAAGGGGAGCAGAGAAGTTGCGCGGAGATTCAGTGCGAATGAACTAGCTACAACACGCAGCAGCAAGCGGACTCTTTCTTTGCCTTGAAAATGTTTTCAGACATAGGATATCTTTTCGTGTCCTGAAAAACGTGACTAGCCTTGGAAATAAAGTACGTTTTCATAATGCAGAAGTTACCTGTCCAGGAGTAATTTGGCGACCAATGCGTCAGTCTTTAGACCCTGCGTCTGCTTCAGTGCGCATCGCTGGAAGAATCTACAAGAATCACCTTAGTTTGGCTTCGCTGCTTTTCCCCTTGTCTTCTTCTTTCAGCGACCTCAAAAACGACTTTCTTTTGCGGCTAACTGCTCCTGATTTTGTCTGCCATTGCAACAAACTTTGTGCTAACTGCGAGGAAGATATAGGTCAAAAAAAGCCGCTAAGAACTGTTGCATTGGTGGAGTAAACGCGTTGTGCGTCGCGTCTGTGGACTGCGTGAGGCGTACGTGTACCAGGCAGGTCAGTTACAGAAACGTGGGAGTTTGATTGATAGCCTGCGAACAGCGAGGCCGTTGTTATCTATTGCAAGGCCCCACCAATTTGAATAATCATAATTAAAGGCTACTGCACCTTTTATCATTGACAACTTGAACTCCATCAACTTTAACGCTCAATTCCGATTTTTTTGTGAAATCCAATGTTTTTGCGAGGTCGTTCACATTTCCAATTAAATGCGACTTGTATGTGATCCCCTGTGAGAACGTTAAATGGCCTGAAAGTGTCCCGTATGCGCACTGGAAGACGCGATGACGTCAACCGCAGCGAGTGTGCTCTGTGTTTACGGAAGTTGTCCAAACATGGACGCGAGCATTGAGCACCGATTTTAAGCAATTTTAAATTTTCTCTCTTGTTTTAAAGAGGAGATTGAGAAGAAGGATGAGGTTTTTGGCCGTGGTGTTTTGTGGGGCAGTGGCAGCAACGTCTGTTGAAAGGAACGTGTGGATGCGGAGACGTAGCCAAGAGTGGGGAGTGGCGATGTGCTTCGCTTCAGTGACACGGAGTTCGTTAACAATTTTCACCGACTTCAGCGCAGAATAATGACGTTTGTCGCTTGTTGATAACGTGTAGGTCGGATGGATGGGCTTTGGCCGTTCAGAACGAAGTCGCATGTCAAAAGATCGGATATGTATCGGTTTCAGGACCACATATCAAAGGCTACGTTCAGACTGCAGGGCTTAACGCTCAATTCCGATTTTTTTGTGAAATTCGATGTTTTTGCGAGGTCGTTCACATTTCCAATTAAATGCGACTTGTCTGTGACTCCAGTGTGAACGGTAAACGGCCCGAAAGTGTCCCGCATGCGTACTGGAGGACACGATGACGTCAACCTCATGCGTCAACCGCAGCGAGCGTGCTCTGTGTTTACGGAAGTTGTCCAAACATGGATGCGAGCATTGAGCACCTGGCGATTTTACAGTTCCGGTTTCCGCCTGCTTCAGCGCAGAATAGTGACGTTTGTCGCTTGTTGATGAGGTGTAGGTCGGATGGATGCGCTTTGGCCGTTCAGACTGAAGTCGCATGTCAAAAGATCGGATATGTATCGGTTTCAGGACCACATATCCAAGTGGCCTGGGTCGCATTTGAAAAAATCGGATCTGTGCCGTTCAGACTGTCATTAAAAGATCGGATACAGGTCACATCAAATGCGACCCAGGCCACTTGGATATGTGGTCATGAAACCGATACATATCCGATCTTTTGACATGCGACTTCAGTGTGAACGGCCAAAGCGCATTCATTCGACCTACATGTTATCAACAAGCCACAAACGTCATTATTCTGTGCTGAAGTCGGCGAAAATTGTTAATGAACTCCGTGTCACTGAAGCGAAGCACATCGCCACTCACCACTCTTGGCTATGTGTCCGCATCTACACGTTCCTTTCAACGGACATCGCTGCCGCTGCCCCACAAGACGCCATGGCCAAAAACCTCATCCTTCTCTTTCTCAATCTCCTCCTTAAAACAAGTAAGTTGTACATGTTCTGGCTCCGGTATGAGAGGAACTTTAAAATCGCCAGGTGCTCAATGCTCGTGTCCATGTTTGGACAACTTCCGTAAACACAGAGCACGCTCGCTACGGTTGACGTCATCGTGTCCTCCAGTGCGCATGCGGGACACTTTCGGGCCGTTTAACGTTCACACAGGGGATCACATACAAATCGCATTTAATTGGAAATGTGAACGACCTCGCAAAAACATCGGATTTCACAAAAAAATCGGAATTGAGCGTTAAGCCCTGCTGTCTGAACGTAGCCCAAGTGGCCTGGGTCGCATTTGAAAAAATCAGATCTGTGTCGTTCAGACTGTCATTAAAAGATCGGACACAGGTCACATAGGGGCCAAAAAATCGGATTTGGGTCACTTCCGGCTGTAGTCTGAACGCAGCCAAAATGTGATGAGGCCGCAAGTTCCAGTCCCAGATGAGAAAAATGTGCACGTGGCCTATTTACCGTTTTATTTCATTTAACTTTCTTGAGGTTCAGCCATCTCAAGAGAAAGAATTCAGGGGCGACTGGTGGTATAAGTTTTTGGCGGGGCACATACGCCAAAATTATAAATATATATTATAAACAGGCTATATAGTAGGCCTATTATGACAAATGCCAGAAACTGGCACTGGCCACTATTGGCTGAACTATATCCATCAGACCACAACGCACAACCTGATCCACCGCTCACACCCAGCTCCAAGAATGTCAGCAAAACTACAATAAGGGGCTACTGTCACAACACAAACACATGACATCAGCGCCGCTCCTACAGCACAGGCAGAACAACCAGAGCAGCTCCATCACATCTACAAGCTCATTTACGCACTATTTAACTATTAACACTATTTACTTGTTAGGCTCCGCCCGCAGATTTGCCCATGACTAACGAAAATAAGCCTCTTACCTTCTCCAGAGGACTGATGCA